GGTGAGTCTGGCTAACGGTTCATCAATCTTGTTTACCTTTTCAAAGAACCAGCTCTTTGTTTCATTGATCTTTTGAATTGTTTTTTTAGTCTCTATGTCGTTTATTTTTGCTTTGATCTTTACTATTTCTTTCCTTCTACTTGCTCTGGGTTTTTCTTTTTGTTTTCTTACTTGTTCTTTAAGTTGTAGGGTTTGATAGTCTATTAGAAATATATCTTGTTTCTTGAGGTAAGCCTGTAGTGCTATGAACTTCCCTTTCTGGACTGCTTTTGCTGTCTCCCATAGATTTTATGTTGTTGTGTGTTCATTTTCATTGATTTCCAGGAAGTTTTAAATTTCTTCCTTGATTTCCTTGGTAAATCTATTAATTGTTTAATGACATGCTATTTAGCCTTCGTGTGTTTAATGTTTTTGAGCATTTTTATTATAATTTTTAGTTTCATGCCATTGTGATCTGAGAAGATGCTTGATATGATTTCAGTCTTCTTGAACTTACAGAGACTTAGTTTGTGTCCTAACATGTGATCTATCTTTGAGAATTTTTCATGTGCATTTGAGAAGAATATGAATTATGAAGTTTTGGGGTGTAATTCTCTGTAGATCTCTATTAAATCCATTTGATCTAGTGCATCATTTAGAGTCTTTGTTTCCTTGTTAATTTTCTGTCTAGAGGATCTATCCAGTGATGTCAGCAGGGTGTTGAAGACCCCTGCTATGATTGTATTGCTGTCAATTTCTCCTTTGAAGTCCTCTAGAAGGTTATAATGTATTTTGATGCTTCTATATTGGGTGCATATATGTTTACCAAGGTTATATTCTCTTGTTGGATGGATCCTTTCAATATTATGTAGTGGCCTTCTTTGTCTCTAGGTATGACCTGCACTTTGAAGTCTATTTTATCAGATTAGGAGTATTGCTACCCCAGCTTCATTTTCATTTCCATTTGCTTGGAAAAAATTTTTCCATCTCTTCACTTTCAACCTGTGTGAGTTTATTGTTGTGAGGTGGGTCTCTTGTACACAAAACAACATATATATAAGTCATGCTTTCCTATCCATTTAGCTACTCTGTGTATTTGATTGGAGCATTTAATCCATTTACAGTTAAGGTTATAATTTATATGTACTTATTTATTGCCATTTTAATTTATTATGGGTATGTTTCTCTCTCTATTTCTTCTGCTTATTAGAGCATTCCTTATAACATTTCTTGGAGTGCTGGTTTGGTACTAATATATTCCCTTAGCCTTTTTTTGTTGTTTTTTTTTTTGTGTGTGTGTGTGTTTATTTTTTTATTTTTTGTTCTTGGAAGCTCTTTATTTTACCTTCTTTTTTGAATGATAGCCTTGCTGGATAGAATAGTCTTGGATTCAGATTCTTGTTTTTCATTACCTTGAATACTTCATGCCATTCCCTTCTGGCCTGTAGTGCTTTAGTTGAGAAATCAGCTGATAGCCTTAAGGGGCTCCTTTGTAGGTAACCTGTTGCTTTTCTCCTGTTGCCTTTAAAATTCTCTCTTTGTCTTTAATTTTTGGCATTTTAATTATGATGTGTCTAGGTGTGGGCCTCTTTGGGTTCTTCTTACTTGGGGCTCTTGATACTTCCTGAACTTCTATGCCTTTTTTCTTCACTGAGTTAGGGAAGTTTTCTGCTACTATTTCTTCAAATATATTCTCTAACCCTTGCTCATTTTCTTCTTCTGGTACTCCTATGATGTGGATGTTGTTACATTTCATATTGTCCCACAGCTCTCTTAAACTTGTTTTTATTTGTTATTTCCTTTTGGTTCTCTGATTGGGTGATTTTTTTCTACGTTGTCTTCTAATTCAGTGATCTGATCCTTGGCTTCCTCTACTCTGCTGATTATTCCTTCCAATGTGTTCTTTATTTCTGCTATGTCATTCTTTATTTTCACTTGGTGTTTTTTTATTTTTATTTTTATTTCTAATTGGTTGATTTTAATTGTTTCTGTGTCCTTATTCATGTTGTTAAGCTTCTTCATAATCATTACTTTGAACTCTACCTTTAATAACTTGCTTAACTCCATTTCATTTATCCCTTCTTTTGTAGAGTTCTCTTGTTCTTTCATTTGGAATTTGTTTCTTTGTTTCACCATTTTGGCCGTGTCAGCATGATTTGGAACCTGCCAAATTTTACCTGTGAGTGTCAGTGTTCTGCTAATTATGGCTCCTTCAGCTGGGTGTGGATGAGTATGGAAGGGACCGCACTAAATACCAATGTGGAGTCTTACTTTCCTGGGTAGAGTTGCAGCCCAAGCAAAGATTCAATTATCATAGAGCTTTTGCCTGCAGGCTATTAGTGTCAGTTACTTAATGAGCCTCAGGTTGTAGCCCTCTGCTAAATGAAAAATCCCACAGGTGGACAGGGTAAGAGGATTTCCAGCAGGTGGGGCAATTGCTTTCCCTGGGCTAATGTTGCTTTGAGAAGAAAATGGTTTCTGCAGTGTGGGTTAATGGCTCAGCACAGGGACCTCAGCCTTCACAGCTTCAGTCCCCAGAGCCATGACCTCCAACACTGAAAACCAGGTCCAAAGCTCAAAGCTTTCAAAGGCTTTTCTCTACCTACTGGCTGGCAAGTAGTCTCTGACTGTTAATGAGCCTCTCGAGGACGGATGGTGTTAAATTCCCAAGGGAGGGGCAGTTGCGTCTCCCCAGGGTTAAAGCCACTCTGATGGGAAGGGGTTTCTGGAGGAAGATGGCTACTCTCTTGTTGGGGAATGACTCAGCATTGAGCTCCTGATGGCCTTCCCAGCTCTCTCCCCAGTGCCATGAACCCCCGACTCTCCTCACATAGCTCCAGTCATCTGCCCTCCCTCTGTTTGTCTAAAGTGAGTGGCTGTAGCTGTAATTTAGTGCACTAGCCCTTCAGGGCAGTGCCAGAATTCCCTGCGCTTCTCCCTGTTGGACAAAACCTCTGCTCTGGTGATTTTCTCAGCCAGGTATTATATGGGCTCCTATTCCTGTCCTGCCACTCTGTGCTGGGGAGTCAGCTTGGGGTTTTAAGCCCCGACGTCTCAGGAAACTGCTCACAGCTAAGACAGCCCTCAGCTGCTGCCTATGGGCACCCAGCCAGCCCTCTCACACCTCCACAGCTCCTACCAGTCTCATTTTTGGGTCCTGTTTACATCCCTGTTTACAAGGGTTCTCTCCAGCTGCTCTTCAGTTGGATTTTCCAGATGACTTGTCTTTATTTTAGTTGTAATTCCAATTTGGTCCTGGGAGACGGTCTGTGTAGCTTCCATTCACTCTGCTGCCATTTTCTCTTTCATTTTATACTTTTTTAAATGAGGCTACTTAAAGATTTAGAATCACATACATGGCTTGCACTTGTGGCTTGCAGTATTTTTCTATGGAAAGGGCTGTTCTTATGGCTTCTCATCACACGTAGAGTAGAACTCAGATCCTTAATCATTACCTAGAGGGCACTTTATGGTATCTCATCTCCTGTCACTTGCCCTTGCTCACTCCACTCTGGATTTTGTTCTTTCTCAGACATGCCAAGCCTATGGCCGCAGAGTGGAAATCCCTACACCGGCATCACTGAGCTTTTTTCCTTTACAGCTCTGAGGTCTCTTAGAGAGCCTTCCCTGACCACCTCCCGTCATCTTCTCTGCCCCTCTGCCCTGTTCCAGTGTTCTTCATGGCTCTTAATGATACTTAAAATTATATTTTTATGTTTTTCACTTGTTTTGTTCAGTTGTTCATTGTCCCCCCTGCCAGAATTTAAGCTCTACTAGGTGATAAGTCCCACTAAAGTTCAGGACAGGGTCTGTGTGTTATTTATCTTTTTTTTCTCTCAGCATCTAGAACAGGGACTGCACAGCAAGCTCTCAAAAAAGAACAAACTTGAGCAAGGCATTCATTGGCATATTTGAATATCACGGCATTCAAAATGTTGAGGAAAAAATGTCGATAACATTTTTTTTTTTTTATCCTCACCCGAGGACATTTTTTCATTTTCTGTTCAGACAGAGTGGGAGGGAGAGAGAGGAAGAGGGAGAGAGAAACATCGAGGTGAAAGGGACACATGGAGTGGTTGCTACCCGCACGACCCAACCAGGGCCGGGGACAAACTGCAACCGAGGCACGCGCCCTCAGTGGGAACCAACCCCGGGTCTCTCTGGACCACAGGCTGACGCTCTAACCGCTGAGCCAAACCGGCCAGGGCGATAACATTTAAAAAATGTTTTAGGGAACTATTATTCACTAAATAATAATCATAATGATTTTTAAAGTTAATGATTTCAAAAAGTAAACAATCAGCCCTGGCCAGTTTGGCTCAGCGGTTAGAGCGTTAGCCTGTGGTCCAGAGAGACCCGGGCTCGGTTCCGCTAAGGGCATGTGCCTTGGCTGCAGTTTGTCCCCGGCCCTGGTTGGGTCGTGTGGGAGGCAACCACTCGATGTGTCCCTTTCATATCGATGTTTCTCTCTCTTCCTCTCTCTCCTTCCCGCTCTATCTGAATAAAAAATGAAAAAATGTCCTTGGGTGAGGATAAAAAAAAAAAAAAAGTAAACAATCAACTCTGTATTATTTGTTTGCAAAAGAAGATTATAATTACTTCAGACTTTCCTGCCTTAGTCCTCAGCTATGCTTCTAGCTGCCATTTCATGTTAATATGCTGCCACCCAGGTCCCAGGACCACCCCCACCAGGATTAATTATCTTGTTTCTTTTCTCCTAAGCATGGCAGAACCACATTTCATGAAGATGCTTTTCACCATATCTCTGAAATCCAGAGATCTCTTGCTGTACCATTTGGTGTACCCATTGCCAAAGGCATGACACACCCAAGAGAGTGGGCAGCATTTAAATTTAAAAAAAAAAAGAAATTCTTGGTATATCAGAGACTTATTAGAGAATTCAGGAGGCCCACTGAATAAGGTGTGCACAAAAATAAGTCCTGGACAGATACAATGCAGTATAAGGATAGTCCCTTAATAGTTTTAACTTTTAACCAAACTATATTGTTTTTCTTCATTAGCATTTACGAGGTTTCTTCTCAGATTCTACATCATTCAATATTTTGATGGACATGTTATTTATCAAAGGCAAATATAAAAGTAAGTATTACAATTCATGTTTGCTGAAAAATTCTGTTCTCTCTGCTGGGAAAGCAGTTAAGAAATGCCCCTTACATTCCTGATGAGTGCCTGAATTGGGGAGACCTCATTTTTTAAGTGGGAAAACATTATTGCATCAAATATCATGCCTTAAAGTAAACACCACAGATTTTACTTATGGTGAAATTATAACAGGTTTTTAAATATTAGTTCTTCCTGTATGACCTGATTGTTATTTGAAATTTGGTTAATTACTAACTTTGATAAAAGGCTTTTTTTGTGCTAAATACACTTTTTAGTAAATGGTGCTGATTAGAACTCTGGGGATTGATAGTAGAGGACTGAATTCACTTGGCTGCATTTAATAGTGCTGGCCCACTCCTGACTTTTGGCAGATGCTTTGGAAGTATTGATCGAGATGAAAAACCAAGATGTAAAGTTCAGCAAAGATACCTATGTCCTTGCTTTTGCGATTTGCTACAAACTGGTAAGACTATCTCCTGTGAATCTTTAGAGCATTGTGGATAGTGTTTGAAAGAGTGTTTTGTTTTGTTTTTCTCTACAATAAAATTTAGTTCCTCAGACGTCTGCTTTCCATCTGGTGCAGATATTTCCATTTTAAATGTGTTTGTTTTTAGAAAATTCAATTTAGCCATGTCAGACAGTTTTATTATGGGAAAAGTAATTTTATTGTCTTTTGCCCATCTCTGGCAATTGTATAGATGGTGAGAACTAGAGTCGGTATGCTGGGTTCGAGCTCTGCTTTTGGGTGGTCTTTCTACCAGGCTCATGCTGGACTCGACTAGACCAGTCTTCCCTGGGGCCCTCTCCCATGGAAACCTTACATCCTTCATTGGCAAACTCAAGGGCTACTTTGTCCTCATCTGTGAATTTGTCTGGAATCACATAAGTTGGAATCTTCTATGACATACCTGGATGGTCCTCTGTTAGTGTCATGCAAATGGCACTTGTGACACTGCCTGATGTCATGCCAAGTAGATGCACGTTTCATCCTCCCCATTAGAGTGCAAGCCTCGTGGGGCCTCTTGGTAGGCCGGCACCTGACACAGTGCCTGGTACACAGTCAGTCTTTACTAAAAATTCATGACACTGAAATGAAATCTTGGAGGAGAGTGTGACTTATAAGTCCCAATGTCATTACTGTATGAGGATGGTTTCTTACACAAAGCAACTGCTTCTTCATTACTTAATGAATGAATGAATGATAACTGAAATAGTACAGTGACTAAGATTCCATGCATGACTCTAGTCATTCATGCCGTTTAAACTCTGGAAACGTAACAAAACCTTTTAATGCTGAAACCAAAGGAACACCAAGCAAGTAGAAGAACATGGGCAATTGAAAAACTTCCATGAAAAGTGTAGCAGTGCCAATTTTCCCAAATAAGGGACAGTAGAAGTTACAGTGGAAAAAAAAAAAAAAAAAACTAATGTGGAAATTGGGAAAGTTGGAGTCTAGTCACAACTTTAGCATTCACTGGCTTTAAACTGGCCACTTTCCTCATTTGTGAAGTGAGGGACTTGGATTCAGGGGTCAGAAAACTTTTTCTGTAAAAGGACATATAATAAATATTTTAGGCCACATATTCTTTGTGTTTTTACAAACTTTTAAAAGGGTAAAAACCATGTTAGCCTTGGGCTGGGTTTGGCCTGAGCGTCATAGTTGGCTGACCCCTGCATTGTTAAGTGCTCCTCTCCAATCACACCGTTGTGTGAAAGACGCCAGCAAAGCTCACAACAGGAGCATCGGCTATTCAGCATTGTGATACCCAGTTTTCTGACCTACTTAGAGAGGCCTCCCTGAGTGTGTACCGAAGTGGAGAGAATTGAATTCTACCACTTAGGGCCAGAGGACTTTTCTCCCCTGTAGTGTATCTAGGAGTAACTTGTTTCACTCAGTGGAATCTGGAGGTGAAAAGTTGAGCTGGTCAGCTGTTCCAAGTTCCAACTCAGCTCTGACTTTAGGATTTGAGTCATGAGTCGTGTGATGACGGAAACACAGAGGTCAAAGCTGATACTGCTCTCATAGCCGTAGTCTACCTACAGCATGAACCAAGGACAGGACTCGGCTTTACCATTGCTGTCTGCATGCTTGTGCATCACTCATGTTCTTGGAGGGTTTTTTTCTTTTTAAGTTTTCTGTTTTCTGGGATTCTCTCATGATTAGTCTTCAAATTAGTGTTCATGTTTGCAGATATTTGACATATGTGGATATTTTCAGATTGGAAATCCCCTCAAGAGAAGTTTCCCTGTGTTGCTGAGCTTTATTGTGTAATACAGTAGCAGGCAGAATCTTTATTCTGTTACATTATGGAAATCATGTCTAGAAACCCATCTACCCAGGTACAAAGCGACCGGTATATTTGCTGGTGAAACTGCCCCAAGTCAGAAATTGACATAGAGCTTTAAAAATAAAGTTAGTTTAGATAGTTTGGATTTGAGCTGCTAGTATATAGATAACCTGGTCTAATTGCAAATAGTCTGTATATGCTTCTTAATCATTTAATGAGCTTGAAATAGGCTCTGGGAAATTCTTGCAAAAGGAAATCTGAAATACTGAGCAATGTTAATCATTTATTCAACTTAAAGCTTCATGATATTTATTTATTGAACAATCCCATCTCCTTCCAGAATAGCCCTGAGTCTTTTAAAGTCTGTACTACATTAAGGGAGGAAGCCCTAATCAAAGGAGACATCCTCTCCAGGAGAGCGTCCTGTTTTGCTGTGGCACTAGCTCTGAATCAGGTAAGGCTTCGGGGTGCACAAAGTGGATTGGGAATGGGCAGGACATTACCACTTTCATTTCTTGTTTTTATTTATTTTCCCTTCTGGCTGTATCACAAAGAAAATGTCTCCATAAAGAGACCGATGCGTTTGGTGCCATGGCAACCTCTCTACCTGTGCCTCCAAAGAGTGTTTCCATTTACAGTTCGGAACATAACAGGCACTGCTATTCAGAAGGGGCTGGCTGAGATCTCGTGGAGACTCGGTGAGGGAAACTGCCCTCTGAGAGAAATTTCTCAAGTAATTAAAATGAAAATTTTAAGTGACCTGTTTAATGCCCTCCAAAGCTGAATTCACCTCAGGTACTGAGGACTCCCACAGTGAATCCATTGTAGAATTGGAGTCCATCATATAGTTCATAATCAGACCCAAATAGTCTTATCAGGAAGAGACTTGAGTGATCTTTTAGCCTCCCCCTTTCACTGGACTAATGGGAGCAGCTGAACCCCAGAGAGAAGACAGGACCTCCCTGTCTCACACCTCAGAAGAACATTAAAACTGGAACCCTGGAACACCCCTCTCTTTTTTCTTTTTATCCTCACCCAAGGACACTTTTGCCTTTATCTTCAGATAGAGCAGAAGGTAGAGAGGGAGGAAGAGAGAGAGAAACATCGATGAGAGAGAGACATCGAATGGTTGCCACCCATATGACCCCAACCAGGGCCGGGGACAAACTACAACTGAGGTACGTGCCCTTAGTGGGAACCAAACTCAGGTCTCTCTGGTCCGCAGGCCGATGCTTCAACTGCTGAGCCAAACCGGCCAGGCAAAATACAATTTTTTTAAATCCTTACCCGAGGATATTTTTACATTTATCTTCAGACAGAGTGGGAGGAAGAGAGGGTGAGAGAGAGAGAGAAACATCGACATGAGAGAGACACATCGATTGGTTGCCACCTACACGGCCCCAGAGGGGTTGGGGACGAACTGCAACTGAGGTACGTGCCCTTGGTTGGAATGAAACCTGGGACCCTTTGGTCTGCAGGCCGACACTAACCAGCCAAACCAGCCAGGGCTTGGAACACTCCTCTCTTGAAGAGCTCCTCCCAAGAGGTTCTGTTCCAAAGCCTTTTAAGAAAATGTGAACTAATTTGCTCTACAAATATGCACAGGCTTTATTCTCCCTGGCCATTGGGAATAAACATGAAATTGGTTTTCAGGCCCTGGCCGGTTTGGCTCAGCGGTTAGAGCGTCGGCCTGCGGTCCTGAGAGACCCGGGTTCGGTTTCCGCTAAGGGCATGTACCTCGGTTGCAGTTTGTCCCCGGCCCTGGTCGGTTGTGCGGGTGGCAGCCACTCGATGTGTTCCTTTCGCATCGATGTTTCTCTCTCTCTCTCTCTGTTCCTCTCTCTCCCTCCCACTCTACCTGAACAAAAAAAATGGAAAAATGTCCTTGGGTGAGGATTAAAAAAAAAAGAAATTGGTTTTCAGTAAAAAGTCTCTGCTGCTGCCATAGTGACATACTGCTTCCTGCAAATATGGCTTATATACGTGAATCCTTGATTAGCTTCACCTTTGCCACCAAAAGGATCCAGAGAACTCATTACTGGTCTTAAACTCTGTTACCATCATTGTAAGCAGGAATTTAGGTTTTGTATTTCAGGCTGTGCCCCTCATCTTTGAGGACTGCTTTGTGGGTTCTTTCTGAGATAGGCAGCAGTGGTCTCTCACTGCTTTCTCCAGAACTAGCCTGTGCTCCATCTCCAGTGTTTTCACCTCCTCTGTGGTTTGAGGTTTCCTGTGTGCTAATTATGTCAAAGATTATCAGAGATGGGTGTTTTTGTTTTTTTTCTTTTTCAGCTCACTGCAGTGGGAGAATGGGAAATGTAAACTTTATACCTCCCTCTTAAAAACTGGATCTTAGGCCAGGTGTTAAAGCATTTAATAACATGGCACTATAAGACACATTTTATAGAATGTTAATTCTTGATTACCAAAAAACTGTTTTTCTTTGTGGACCTCAAAACCCTGGTGTACCACAAATAGGAATATCTTGACATCTTCAAATGATCTTTATGATAGCAGAGTAATGTTCATATGACTTAGGGTATGACTTGTTTTTCTTTTTTCTAGAACCATGTGGAAAAAGCTACATCCATTTTTTCTCAAATCATGAATCCAGAAAGCATACTCTGCATTAATTTAAGTGTAAGTGACTTCTTATGGTTTAAAGAGAGGCTGGATGTACTAAAGTGATGTCTAGAGGTTTTTGTCTGTGTATAATGAGTTTTGATGTCCCAGTAGCTTCATTCAGTTTATTCAACTATTGAGCTCTGTGTGAAAGTTTCAGTATAGTCCCTGTGAGAGGAGTCAGCACACCCTGTGCTTCCCGGAGTTTGGTAATAGGTGGGAAATGTAGATATGTTCAGGTATAAGACATGGCTAAATGGTAGGTATAACGTGTGACTACAGAAGGCCATAGATGTAGAGAGAAGGTAGATAGACCCTCCAGTGTCTTGACCAAGACTTGAGAGAAACCTGTGTGCTAATTGCATCCCATCCATGTAACTAACTCATGGTATCAGTATATCTACCCTGTGTAAAATAGTGCCTGACATGGTAAGTGCTCCCTCAATGTCAACTATTTTCATTCTTATGCTGCCAGCCTGCCCCAGCCCATCTGCCCCAGTGAGCAGAGGGTCACCTCCCTCTTCTTGTGCCAGGACTGGGAGCCTAAGCAGTAACTGCAGGTCAGAGTGGGTGGGTCAGCCTGAAAAGCTCATAGGCTCAAGCAGGTCTGGGAGACTAAGGTGGCAAAGGTCTTGAGTCCAAAAGTTCAGGTCATTTGAGCCAGCAATACCAGTAAGCCAAATAGACTAGAAAGCCTCGTCTTCCAGCAGATGCCATATGCCTTTTATCTTCTCTGCTTCCTACTGGATATGGATAGCTCTGGGGTCCCACGTATGACTGCTTCTCAGAGAGGGAGAGTGGCCCGCAGATGCACTCAGGCCATGATTGGACAGAAAAAGAATCGCTAGCATTCCAAGTGACTCGTAGCACCATAGGAGAGAAATACAGGAGAGTGTGGTGAGGGGCATTGATGTGGACGGACTATTAGAGCTGATGTGAGATTTTGGGCATCAGTAAGGATTAGTGGTGAGACATTGGTGGGAGTGAGATTGATGGGATTTTAATATAATTTAGGTAAGATACCATGCTAGGTACTTTATATTTGTTGGCTCACTTTATACAACCCTGTCAGAACAATGGGTCTCCATGTTATAGATGTGAAAATGAAGATTAAAAGGGTAAGTAAATCACTCAAGTTTTGCAGTTAATTAAATAGCACAGTTGGGTTTTAACACCAACAGATCTGTTTGACTGCAAAGCCCAGAGTTTGCCACCACTGCAGACCTACAGAGATGAGTGCTGTGTCTCTTCTCCAGGCCTGGGACTAGCTGCTCCTCCTGAGTAATGGGAAGACCATAGGACCGGGTGTCAGAAATCGAATCTGTTATAGTGCACACATTCCATGCCCTTGAATTTAGATTTTTTGTCTAGTTCAACCCTTAGCTGTCTCTCACAGTGCTTTGAGAATGTAGTAATGATTTTTTTTTTTTTTTTTAAGAAATGAGAAAGTGCTCTGGTGGAAGTAAAACATGAGCCTGCTGAGAGTGAATCTGTCCACTCTCAGTGGGAGGGGAAATCCAGAGCATGGTGGGCAGTGCGCTCACCATGGAACGGCAGCTGGGAAGGAAAGGAAAGGAAAGGAAGCTGATAAATGTGGTGGTTGGGCATGATTCAGGCAAGGACCGTACGGGGAACCTGGAGCTGATCTTGAACAGGAATCCTCCTTTCCATGAATTGGGTCACAGGATTATCTGTTGTCAGGAAATTTAAAGATAGTTTTATTGTTTAAAAATTCTCACTTAGGAAATTCTTCCAAACGTCCAATCTGAATTTCTCGTATTTCAGTATAGCCTATTTCATCTTCCTCAGGTATGATGAAAAAGAGATGGTTCCATTCTGAGGTTTCATAATCTTTCAGATTCTGGGTCTCTGTTGTTAGAACAGGTTTTTAATAAAATGATGTAGTGGGCCCTCGCTTCTCCAAGGCCGAGTCATCTACTTGGAATCCTTACGGGCAATTTGTTAATTTTTAGGAAATGGAAACCTGACAGGTAGGCTGAATGGAGAGTCTGTTCAGTCTGTATTAGCAGGAATAAATTATGTTTTTTCCTGATCTACTTAAAAAATAATGCATTATACTAAAATCTTTTTCTGCTGCCAGTCGGAATTTGCATTTACCCAGTTATTCCCCCCTCAATTTTCATTGAAATTGCTTCTGCTGCCAATATACCTAGAGGGTGTAGTTTTCCATTTTCCCAGCTAATATGTGTTATATATTGCTCTAATTTAGCAGATGATCCCATGGAAGCACATGCATGTTGACTCTGTCCTTGTAGTCTAAATTTAAACCCATCAATCTCAGAAGAATTATGGCCCCTCTTTAGCCATGCTGTTCAATATCAAAGGATTAATTTCTACTTTCAAATATGTCTGAAAGTATCAGAGACCAATGCAGGGTAACTTTCTACTGATTCTATTTTATTTCTAACCATTTCTGTAGAAATCTGGCATGTCTCCAAATGGAGATTCATTCTGGAATTGAATTACCTTGCAAGGGAATTGACAAGTGGTTAATTTTACTGCTTTTATCATTTATTTATTGACACAGGTGAATGTTTTAAAGCCCTTTTCTACTACTCACTAAAGTCTCTTAGGCTACACAGGTAGGAAAGAAGACAGGACTCATTTCTCATAAATCCCTCTGTGGCAGCATCTGTGTATATAAGTTAAGAATTGCTTGTGGGTAGGAGCAATGTAGACTCCAGAGTCTGTACAAATTAAGAGGCTTTCTCTTTCTCCGGAGGTGGTCAGTCTAGGTCCGGTGTGATATTCTATGATATCCTCAGGGATCCAGCCTTTTTGTTGTTCCATACCACCCTCCCAAGCACATGACTTCCATCCATTGTATTGCTATTCCATCAAGAAGTAGAGAGAACGGAAAGGACAAAGAAGTTAGCATCTTTTAAGGATGCTTTCCCAATTGTTTCAACCAACAACTAGTATTTACATGTTGGCCCAAACTTAATCCCACAACTTCACATAGTTGCAAAGAAACCTGAGAAATAGAGCCTTTGATTTCGTACATGATAACATCCATTAAAATTAGAGAGTTCCCCCCGGCCGGGATAGCTCAGTGGTTGAGCGTCAACCCCTGCACCAAGAGTTTGCTGGTTCAATTCCTGGTCAAGGCACATGCCCAGGTTGTGGGCCTGATCCCAGTGGGGGGCGTGCAGGAGGCAGCCAATCGATGTTCTCTCTCATTGATGTTTTTCTCTCTCTCTCTCCCTCTCCCTTCCTCTCTCTCTAAAGTCAATAAATAACATTTTTTTTCCCTTAAAGTAGAGAGTTCTGTTATCAAAAACAGAAGGATGAATGCATATTGTTTAGAAAACTAGTAGTCTCTACCACACTATGATACTCTACTTCAAATAGAGCAAACTTGAAAAGAAAAAACAAATGCAACTTTCTGGCATGTTTAGGGCTTCTTTTGTGGTCAAAGATATCCTATGAGTTGTCAGCATTTCCTGAAGCCTCAGAAAATCAGAGCGAAGGAAGTATGTGTTCTTTTAATAGTTTTTCTTACCAAAATTCCCCCTGCTCCTTGCTAATTCAATTTTCCTAGCCTTTTGTTTGACATCTGTAAGATTAAAGCAATGTGCTGTGCCCTGATTTAGCTTTTCTTAATTGCACCCTGAGACTTCAGTTTGAGACAAGCTTCTAGCTTTAAATTTTCTCTTTGCCTTTCATCAGTAACTGCCTCATCTATATTTTCCTTCATCAGTATATTCATTAGGTATTGAACCTTGCCCTTGAAATCCCTACTGAATCAGAGATAGTTGCTGGAGGCAAGGAGAGAAATTGGGAAAACTTACGAAGAAAAGTTGAAATCTTCCAGGAGCACATCATTAGTAGTTTCTAGCATGGAGGTCCAGGAGGCTTATCCTTGAAAATTGCTGTGCTCCCCTTCTCGTTCATTATTGTTGAGGGCCTGCTAGGTGCAGGCACTGGAGATGTTACATTTAACAAAAGGAGACTTGTCCTTGACCTCAACAGGACAGTCCCCTGCCAACCAAATTCGGTTTTTATTAACAATGGTGTTAAGAACTATTAAGAGTGGAGATTTTACCCCACTTCCAAAATAAGGAGTTAGTCTGCTACAATTTTGTGGATGCTGGTAGCGTGTATAAGACATCAGGAGGTGAAGGACAGTATATTACTCACAGCGATAGCAGTAGCCAGAGTATTCGCATTTTGCGTCAGGTTCCTGAGCCTCAATTCCCATAAGATGGCATGAAAAGGTCTCTATGCCTTTTGCATACACAGTGGCTTACATTTTAAGAGAGGAACCCTGCATTTGGGGACCCAAATCTCTTAAAATGGGCAGTAAGCATCCCTGTTCTTTGTTCTGGATAAGACACTGTGTCTTTCTTCCCAATTGTGTGTTGGTTATACAAACACCCTTGAGAAGACGGTTTGGAATAAAGGCTGTCAGTACTTCTGCTCAAATGTGAGAGACCCATGGAGGGTTGTGTCCCAACAAAGAGTGTGCTCGTGATTTTCCTGTGCTTTAGAACACTGAACTTAGATCAGAGCCTTGGGATTTAGTCTTCTTGGGATCATTTCATTCTGTTCTAATCAATTGCTCAAGAAACATAAAATGTTAGAAATGGACTATTGAGAGAACTTCACTGGTTTGGTATTTAAAAGTAATATCTTTTCCAAAAAAACTACCTTTCCTAAGAATCAAGAGCCTTAAAAATGTTTATACCTTTTGCCTTTGTCATTTCATTTCTGGGAATTAAGGCTAAGAAACTAAATTTATTTATTATTATTATTTTATTTTTATCCTCACCTGAGGACATTTTTGCACTTATCTTCAGATAGAGTGGGAGGGAGAGAGAGAGGAAGAGAGAGAGGAAGAGAGAGAGAGAAACAGTGATGTGAGAGAGACACATTGAGTGGTTGCCACCCACATGACCCCAACCAGGGCCGGGGACAAACTGCCCTTAGCGGAACCGAACCCAGGACTCACTGGTCTGCAGGCCGACACTCTAATCGCTGAGCCAAACTGGCCAGGGCTAAATTTATTTTTTAAAATGCATGCACATTTATTAATGTCATAAAGCATGACATTAATTTATTTGATGCACTGTTTTATTTACATAGTGGGTTGCTATGCATGCATACTCATTATAAAAGATGTTTTCTCTTTTTTTTTTTTTTTTTTTTAATCCTCACCCGAGGACACTTTTCCACTTTTTGTACAGATAGAGTGGGAGGGAGAGAGAGAGAGAGAAACATCGACGTGAAAGGGACACATCGAGTGGCTGCCACCCGCACAACCAACCAGGGCCGGGGACAAACTGCAACCGAGGTACATGCCCTTAGCGGGAACCGAACCTGGGTCTCTCCGGACCGCAGGCTGATGCTCTAACCGCTGAGCCAAACCGGCCAGGGCTGTTTTCTCTTTTTCTAAAATTTCTTGTTAATGCTATAAGAAAATGTTCTTTGTATAATAATTGACAAAGAGCAGAATCAAATTTTGGGGAAAATTAACATATTTGGAAAATAATACATGAAATTACAAACAATGGTTAACAGTTGGTAAATTCTGAGTTTTTCTCATTTAAACTCTTATGTATTTTTCCAGTTGTACTAATGCACATTGGTGATGGTCGAGGGGGGTGAGGGGGCAAGCATTCTTTTTCCTTGTGTTGTTTCTGTCTGGTGGAAGGTAGTAACATCATTTTGAAAGCCAGGGGCAGTCCCCAGTTTGGAAAGTTTCTTAGTGGCAACAGTGTAAATAGAAGTGCCTCACTAGGACTTTAACCAGTTTCCACTGTTACCTGCAACAACCTTTGTGCCTGGAATTTCTCAACCAAAATAATGCATAAATAAAAAAGGTAAGGGTATTATTTACCCTAGAGCCAACCTTATGAGATTGATTGTCAGAGCCTCTGAATCTCGAGGCAATAGGGAGGAAGAAACTGATGGTAATGTTAATTGAGTTACCTTCTTTGTGCTAGTATTTTAGTTAATGTTCTCAGTAACTCAAAATGTGAGATGTAAACTTGTTTCCCTCATGTTACAAATGAAGAAATAGAAAGAGAGAATAAGTACGGGCCAGAGTCACATAGCTAATAATCGCCAGTGCTGGAAATACAGCCCCAAATCCCTGTTCTCTCCATTTTTATCCTTAAGCAAGTCTTGCAGTTGTGGTATTTGGATTTGCCACTGGAAAACAACTTTTGGCTGGCAGACATGCATTTGAAGCATTTTTTTTTTTAACTTCTTGTGCAAGCAAATGAATTAGGAAATAGCATGGAAACAGGGTAGATGCCTATAAATGTAGGCTTCTCTAAGGTACATTTCTTAATATTGAATACTGGCTCAGTCTCATTTTTGCTTGTCTTCTTTTTATTCAGTTGATGATCCATATCCAGTCAAATATGTCAAAAACCCTGATAGAGATACTAAAGGATGCCACAGAGGGGAATGTATCAAAATTTGTGAAAAAACTTAAGTTCTCAGAAGAAGTGGTGAGTATGTGTTTGCTGCAGAAATCATTTAAAGGTGAAGGGCACTCTTTAAAAAGGCCACCTCCTTGCCCTGGCTGGTGTGGCTCAGTGGGGTGGATGTCATCCATGCATCAAAGGGTTGCTGGTCCAATTCCTGGTCAGGGCACATGCCTAGGTTTTGGGCTTGATCCCTGGTGGGAGCATGCAGCAGGCAACTGATCGATGTTTCTCTCTCTCTCTAAAAAAAAAAAAAAAAAATGCCACCTCCTCAGAGAGATGTCACATAGGGCAACTTCTTTATTGTTCCTGTTGTGAGATTTCTCTGTGTGTGAAGATTTTTTTCCTTCAAACAGAGTATATCCTTCAAAATGCTGGGAAACCTTTTTCCCTTTAGATCATTCTTTCTGCACACCTTTTTCCATGGGTCCTGGCCCTCTTTCTTTTTCCTTTCTCCCCACTCTTCACTGTTAGTTTATAACCTTGCTCCCTGTTTTATGAGGAAACAGGACTCAGCAGAGAAATGCTGCCGTCGACAGCCTTCTTGCTGCTCTCCCTGTCCGCTCCGCTCCCCTCCCGAGCCGTGCTCCCCCTGACCTGCTCCAGGGCATCAGTCCAGAAGTGTCTCGTCCTCTTCTGGGCATTGTCACTATCCCTTTCTCCGTGGATTACTCCCATCAGCAAACAGTAAGCTATAGTACCTCTCATCATCTTAAAAAGAAATCTCCCCTCTTTAAACAAATTAAAACACAATACCATGTGTCTAGGAAGACTCAGCGTCCAGATATTAAACCATATTAAAGCTTCTAGCATTAGAATTGTTGTTTTAGCTCCTAACTAAATCAACTAATGGAACCAAATAAATGCTTTGTGAGATTCTAAAACACAATTAAATAAAAATGAGGAGAAAGAAGCAATTTCTGAAAATTGAAAGCAAAATGAAACGAATCCATGTGTCACATTGATGGCTCAAGCACACAAAGAGGAATTACCACAAGTCATTTGAAATTCAGCAGTTTGTATGTTGCTTGTATAGAGCCTACGGGGAAAAAAGAACTGTAAAGAAAGTGTAACTTATCGGCAATGATCATATTGTTAGTGATGATACCACTATTGTTGTTCTGATAATGAAGGGGCCTGTGGGTTGGTCCTCCCTCCCTGCCCTTCGCCCTCCTTCCCTTGCCTTTTTCAGCCCTGGCCCCAGCCGGCCTCTGAGATGGTGGGGTGGCAGTAGAGGGAGGGCAGGGGGCTGCTGTTCCCGCCGCCTCCCTGCTGCCCCTCAGTCCTGTTCCTCTCACTTCCACCCAAGGCCTTCCTGCTGTTAAAGGGAACAGAAACTAACTGGATAAGATTAGAGTTAGAGCGTCTTTCTGTTTGAGTTCTTAATTCTGTGTAGGTGGTGACCCACCCAAATCCTTTGGAATATGTTAGCAAAGTAGGGCCACTGGAAATGTAGACAGGTTTCCGAGGGCACAGTCGTGTGCATGTGTGCAGTCTTGACACCTCCGAACCAGTCCGCCTGTAGATCCGGGCCACTGGGGTCTTGTCCAGCTGTATGACTGGCGCATCCACACAAACTGCACATAGAAAAATACTGATTGTTTTGATCTGCAAAGTTTTTCCCCAAAGCCTGTGAGATCGGTTTACTTAGAAAGCTCACCCTCTAGTTCAGTGCATCCCCTGGCTGTCGTGAGACTCTCAGAGAGCTGCTGGTTGTGAAGTGAACCGAGCCATATCACCCAGGTGGCTTTGGAGCTAGTTCTCCATGTCTGTGAGATGGCCTGTGGAGTCTCACTGTGAGCTCTGCACTTACAAATGCTCTCTTTAGTGTTTGCGCCACGGTTATTAACAACGTCGTAGGTGTGGAGCAAGGTGATGTTGTGCCACTAGAGGAATATTGAAGAGAATTGATGATTTTTTTTTTTTATTCCTCACCTGAGGATATTTTTCTGCTTATTATTAGATAGAGTGGGAGGGATGGAGAGAGACAGAGAGAAACATCGATATGCTAGAGCCACATCAACTGGTTGTCTTCTGCACGACCCAACCAGGGCCAGGGATGAACCGCAACCGAGATATGTGCCCTTGACTGGAATCAAGCCCATGACTCATTGGTCTGTGGGCTGATGCTCTAACCACTGAGCAGAACTGGCCAGGGTGATTGTTGATTTTCTGCAGTACCAGTACTGAAACCATTCAAACAGCTGTTTATTCACTGATTTATTTTTTTAAAACTAAATTAAAAAATGTAGTAAAATCTCTTTTCTGCTTAAATCGTAGTAATGGTCCTAATGTAATGTTTTTGTGGTAATGGAAGGGAGCTGAGGTTGTATGGGTATTAGAGCAGAGTCACCTCCAGCTTGCACATTTGCTGCGTTTGGAAGCCACGTGCTGCACATTAAGTCACTGCACCTTGAATGTGAGGACTGAACAAGCTGTTCTTTTTAAGAACATTAAGAAGTGCTTACATTTATCTGACTGTTCGGTGGGGAGCCCTTGTTTGAAAGGAAGGTGTGCAGGTAACAAATAGGATTATGTTATATTTAGAAGATGACCAAAGGATATGTTAGGGACCTTGATTGCAATTAAATGTCATCAAGAAATGTTAGGTTATATTGTTAATAAGAAGCAAACTAATTAAAATGTTGATTTTGTTCAGAAAGTAGCTTCACTTTCTAATTTAGAGCTCACCCGTTTTTGTAGAATTAAATAGTGTTTATATCCTTCTGACATTTATACCTCTGGTCTGAACCTATCCTCCATGCTTCATTCTTACATATCTAACAGCCTCTTGACATTTCTGCTACATGTTCCTGCATCTCGGTCACGTCCGAAACTGGACTCTTGATTTCCCCTCTCCAACCTGGCCCCCTGTGTTCCCCAGCTCAATAATGACGTCACCCAGCGCCGAGGTACAAAGCCCGAGCTGGGAAGATGTCTTTCATTCCTCCCTTTCCTTCACCCCTTCAACAGGAAATCCTTAGACGTTTAGGTCTGGAAGGTCTTACACACATCTCCTTCTCCATCTCGGTTTCTCTTCCCGTCTTAGCCATCGTCCTCTCCTTGGCCGTGGCGGGGCCTCCGATCAGTCTCCACATCTCGCGTCGGCCAGTTCGCCACACAGCTTCATAAACCGAAATCAGATCATGTCCTACTTTAGACCCTCTGATGGTTTTAGCATAAATTTCAGAAAACTTGCCATGTGTAACACCAAAGCCAACATTCCAGTGATAACTGCAGGAAGTGGGGAGAGGACATGAAGGACAAGCAAGCGAGCAGAGCCGCGTGGCCTCCGGGGCGCACAGGTCCGTCGTGCTTTTCTGCCTTTACCAAAGTTAACTCGGCCGCCAGGACCCCAGTACCAGGGACATAGCCTCCCCCGTGCCTGTGAGAACCTGCACATTCAGCCTGTCTCTCGGGTCTTCATTCTCACCTCAGACCTTCTCACTCTGAAAATCTCCAGAATGGAGAGTGTTCCTAACCTAACACAAAACGTGTTTGCTTCGTTGTTTAGAAACGATTCTCAGCCTCTGGGAAAACCCCCCACATTTACCCTGCACTGGGAAGCCCTGTGCATCCGGCTCTGCCGCCTGCTCTGCCTGTTAAATTCGAGGAGCTTGTTCCCTTGCTGAGAGAGCCCCTTTTCCTGGCGTCTCATTGCGTGGACGCTGCCACTTACATCCCCTTTATAAGATATTAGGTGTGGTTTTCAAGGTCTGATTCTGAATTCTGTGTAGCTTGTGAAATCCCTTATAGCTAGTCACACCTCTCTGTGCCCCAGCATCCTGGTTTTCATCACTGTAGGTATCCACTTACGTTTCTACACATTAATGTCTCTGCTTCTTGGAGGATAGAAAGAAAAAGGGAAAAACCTTGCAGAGATACAATGATTACCTTTTTTTGTGTTTTTCCAGCTGGCTAAGGTGAGGGAAAAGGTGAAGGATGTGCCCGCCCTTCTGGCCACATTTGACGAGCTCTATGGGAAACTGCATATAAATGGCCAGGTCACCGCTTATACTTTGGATGCTCTGCTCTGCCACACCCCCAAGGGCCTGAAATCCCACATGGTACACTTAAACAAGAGGACAGTCAGCCGTCGGACCTTCCAGCCACTCAGCCAGTCCCTATGGGCTGAGTAACTCAAGGTCCAAACCCCCCGTGGGGTAGGTCTGAGTTGGAGGGGCTTGCTGCTAGTGGGTTATTGGCATCCTAAGGAATCAGGCCCTGAACTCCAGTGGACACTGTACTAACACTTGGATTCCTCCTTAATTTTCGTGTTCATTGAATGCTGGCATGCTGACCTGAGAACTTGGTACAGTGTGCCACTCCGAAGGTCTATATGCAGTGAGCAGAAACCTGGCTTCCTCAGAAGGGAGGCTTGCCCTGGGAAACAGCTGAGGATCCCTGAAGGAACATGGTCAGTCTCCAGTCCAGCTGCCGGTACAGCGTGCCCAGTAGCAATAATGGAAGGAATTTCACTGTAAGTGGTCAACTCGTCTAACTTGCAGGGGATGGTTACTCACTGAAGTCGGATGTGCTGAACCCCTAAGCTGCCTGCTGGGAAGTAGCTCAGAATTTTCTCACTGCTTCTGCCATCATTTATCTGTGACCCCAAACAAGATACTTGAACCCTCATTTTTCTATCTGTAAAATGATAGTGCCAGTATAACTCTGTGTGTGGATTTGAAATGTTCATTCAAGGCTCAGTAGGGTCAAATTTTCTCAAAAATTCAGAAAAATAAACAAGATTCCCCAAACTTCTTGGGATTATGTTGTTTTGTATTCTCAGCAGCACAAACAGAACTAGAATTTAGCTCTCAGAACTGGTAAGTAAGCCAAAATTCAAATGCTTACTGCTTTGGTCATGAGCAAGCCACGTGCTTCTCAAAATAAGTACCAGTGAGATCATATGATACTTGTTTTTCTGCCAAACAGAGAAAGACAAGTATCATATGATCTCACTTATTTGTGGAATATAATGAACATAACAGTCTGAGGAATGGGGTAGTCCCAGAGACGTGGAAGTGGGGTACAGACTGACAATCCCCAGAAGAGGTGGTGGGGAAGAGATAAACCACAGAACTTATATGCATGTATCTATGAACAATGGACATGGACAACAAAGCTGGGGACAGGGCGGGGAGGGAGGGGGAAGGGGGAATCAGTGGGGGGAAAAGGAGAACCATCTGCAACAAATTAATTAATAAAAAAATAATAATAAGTGCCAATGAAAACCACATCATAATGCCTGCATTGCTTAGTCCTCTGCGTGTGTCTTAAATATTTACTCCTCTCGTTCAGTGGTTCTCAACCTTCCTAACGCCACGACCCTTTAATACAGTTCCTCATATTGTGGTGACCCCCAACCACAAAATTATTTTCGTTGCTACTTCATAACTGTAATTTTGCTACTGTTATGTCTTAGGTGACCCTGTGAAAGGGTCATTCGACCCCTAAAGGGGTCACGACCCACAGGTTGAGAACTGCTGCTCTAGTTCATCTTGTTAAGGGTTTTCTCTTTTCCCTCCTTGGATACTTTTTTGGTAAAAATAAATGCATCATGACAGCCGGTCAGCACTTCCTCACATTGACCCATTACCTATGGTTGGAAACGCAGCACCTGGCAGGTTGTGCCTTTTTCCCAAAGACCCAGGTGACGATCGAGCCCCAGCCGCCGCCCTTGAGTGTTGCACACTCTTCAGTGCTGACTTGAACCTTATATTCTTGAGGCAAGAACTATACACAGAATCAGACATTTTAGAGGAGGAGGAATCTTCTGAGTCTCCTAATTTAATTCCCTCGTCTTGCAGGTTGAGGAAATGTCCAAATTGGGATAGTTTGAGGTGGAGCTGAAATTCAGTCTAGACTCCTAGTCTTGTACCCTTCCCATTATACCACATGTCTCTTCAGAGAAGAGGGATAATCTCTTCAGAGACTGAATGTTAGGGGCTCCCACAGCTTCCAGTGTGGCATAGGCTCACCTCAGGTTCCTCACCCATTAGACGGGGGATGGTGACAGTACCCAGCTCCCAGGCTCAGTGTGAGGATGGGATGAGACAGATAAAGCTGGGACAGCGCCGGGTACAAAGTAAGTGCTATGCAAACAGTAACAGTTGCTGTTACTGTTGGTAGCATTCTGAATGTTTGCACCTAGTTGAAGAATTACATAAACAAATGAGTTCTTCCTCCTGCTTAGAAATATCAAAATAATGTATTTGCTTATGCTCAGTGAAACATTAGTAGCCCCCTTTAAAGAAAATTCTCCGCCTTCATAGACTCCTAATTGCATCTTGTGTGTCTTGTGTTTTGCAAAAAGCAACAACAACAAAAAAACCCATTTGGATTTCTCTACCATCAAAGTCTTAGGGAAAACAGGGCATGCTTCCTGTCCCGCCACTTATCATTTGTCGTCTCCAACATGGGCAAAGAGCATTCAAATGGCTATTATGCCCTGGGTGGATGTGGCCCTGGTCGTTAGAGCTAACAACAATTCATTAGCAGAAAACAACAAAAAACAGCAACAGTAACTGTTGTGAGTGATAAGTAGCAGCTGTGACCTACCTGGGCCCTGCTGGTCTGAGCAGCGGGTGACTAGTGCTTTGCCCACAGTAAGAGCTGGGCTTTGTGACCTGTCGCCCGAGGTCTTCCTGGGGGGCAGCTTAGTACAGAGGTAACTAATGTGCATAATGTTCACCCCAAAATAATAGACAATTCTGAAGGTTAAACATCAAAGAAAAGGTATGTTCAGTATATAGTGAACATTTTATTCTTTCATTTCTTTGAAAAGTGGTGTTTCTTTAATCTTCAGCAATTTGCCTGAAGCATGAATTTATTCTGTTAATGAGAATACTTCACTGGACAGGGCATCTTATTCCCCAACTCTGTATGTGCCCCTGTGGATTGTTTTCACTTATTATAAATGTCTGTTGCTCCAGAATCCAAAGAATCCAAAACTTGTCCTGGTGAGTGCACACAGTATGAGAAAGAAACAAAAAGATCTCTTTAATTAGGTGATATCAGGACAGTGTTCAGGTTATCTGCTGCTGTGTCAGAAACACTCCAGAAATTAGTGGCTTAAAACAACACCAGTCAGTTTATTATTTCTCATTCTCCTTAGAAATGGCTGGGCTCAGCCAGGCTGTTCTTACCGAGGGTCTCGTGGTTATAGTCAGATGATGGCTGGGACTGGAGCCACCTCAGAGGCTTCCCCACTTAATGTTTCTGGCAAGTGATGGTAAGACCTCATCCAAGGCTGGGGCCCCATCATTTACATGTACATACGCACATCCATGTAAACTAAGTCCCCATCATCAAAAGGTACATACACACATCCATGTAAGCTAAGGCAACATACAGCAAAATAGCACAGAGCTTGACAAAACCCAAGATTCAAATTTATAACATTTCTGTCTACAGATTTGGGAAAAGGAAATAGTACATAAAATATCCATTTAGCCCAGCCAGTGTGGCTCAGTGCATTGAGCGTCATCCCATGGACGGGAGGTCCCAGTTCAATTCCCGGTTGGGGCACGTGCCAGGGTTGCGAGCTCAATCCCCAGTCGGGGGTGTACAGGAGGCAGCTGATCAATGTTTCTCTTTCACATCAATGTTTCTGTCTCTCCCTCTCTCTCTAAAAAGTCAATAAAAATATATCCAGCCCTGGCCAGTTTGGCTCAGCGGTTAGAGCATCAGCCTGCGGTCCAGAGAGACCCGGGTTCGGTTCCCGCTAAGGGCACGTACCTCAGTTGCAGTTTGTCCCCAGCCTTGGTTGGGTCCTGCAGGAGGCGGCCACTCGATGTGTCCCTTTCATGTCGATGTTTTTTTTTTCTCTCTCTCTCCCTCCCACTCTATCTGAACAAGAACAACAACAAAAAATGGAAAAATGTCCTCAGGTGAGGATAAAAAAACAAAAACAAAAACAAAAATATATCCATTTAAAAAGTCACAATGACAGAAGCTACAATCAGTCAAATTTGATGTGCATTATGCATAAAAAGTACTTGGTGAAACAAATTATTGTGAATTTAATTAAATAGAAATAGTTTATAAAGGTAAAGGAAATGATTTGAATGGATTGCATAGAAAATGGATAAAGGAGTTGTGTTGGCATTAATGGCATTACTTCAACAAATATCTAATGAACAAGAATTAATTGATATTGGTGTAATTCTGATAGAAATATTTTTTATTTGCTAACATGGAGTCAAAACAAGGGGCTTGAAAATTCTCAGTTTTTTTTTTTTAATTTTTATTTATTTTTTTGTTACAGATATTTTACCTTTTTTACCCCATTGGCACTCCCCTCCCCACCCCACCCCCGCCCCGTCCCCGGCTTAGTTGTCCATGTCCATTGGTCATGCATACATGCATGTAAGTTCTGTGGTTTATCTCTTCCCACCCCCCCAACCCCCTCTTCTGAGGGATGTCAGTCTGTGCCCTACTTCCATGTTTCTGGGTCTACTGTATTCCTCAGACTGTTATGTTCATTATATTCTGTATATAAGTGAGATCATGTGGTATTTGTCTTTTTCTGCTTGGCTTATTTCACTTAGGATAATACTTTCCAGGTCCCTCCATGTCGTCTCAAAGGATAAGAGATCTTTCTTTCTTACTGCTGCATAGTACTCCATTGTGTATATGTACCACCGCTTTTTTATCCATTCGTCTACTGGTGGACACTTGGGCTGTTTCCAGATCTTAGCTATTGTAAATAGTGCTGCTATGAACATGGGGGTACATATATTCTTCCTGATTGGTGTTTCAGGCTTCTTAGGGTATATTCCTAGAAGTGGGATCACTGGGTCAAATGGAAGTTCAATTTTTAATTTTTTGAGGTAACACCATATTGTCTTCCACAGCGTTTGCACCAGTCTGCATTCCCACCAGCAGTGTATTAGAGTCCCCTTTTCTCCACACCCTCGCCAGTACTTGTTGTTTGATGATTTGTTGATGGCGGCCATTCTGACAGGTGTGAGGTGATACCTCATTGTTGTTTTAATTTGCATCTCTCTGATGATTAGTGATGTTGAGCATTTCTTCATATGTCTCTTGGCCATTTGTATGTCCTGTTTGGAGAGGTGTCTATTCAGAAAATGCTCAGTTCTTACGGAGCTTGTATTCTGCAAGAGGAGCAGAGATAAACAGGTAACTGAACCAATGACCACTTGATCACAGTTGGGATAAATGATAAGTCCCAAGCAATACTCATATCACCCTGTGGCAAAGACAAGTGGCATGTGTGTGTGCGCGCGTGTGCGCGCGCACACACACACAAGTGAAGGACCTTTTCTCATCTTTCATAGCACTAATTGTGTATGTCACTGATTTTGACACATAAAGTACATTACCTAGTGTTGTTACAGAATTTCTCCAAGTATGTCCAGTGTCTCCTGAAGGCCTAAGTAGTCTACACTTGTTTTATATGACCCCAAGGTGCCAATGCATATAATGGGACCTTAATATTTATTGTAAGAGTGAATGAATTAATGGCTGATTTTAGTTAATACATGTAGTCTGCCATGATAGGCAGACTATACAAGTCTTTCATTCTTCCTATCCCAGTTTTACATGCGACAGAGTCCAGACCCAGAGAAGTGGAATGCCCGAGAAGGGGCGTAGTTACTAGTGCACTAACATCCTGGCCCAGAATCCCTCGCTTCCAGGTCTAATACAGGTGTTTCCCTTCCTGTCTCCTAGCACTCAGCTAATCTGAGTCAGAAGTGATTTGGGGAGGAGCAGCATAGGGCTT